TGCAATTCAGAAAAATGGTCTTAAAGTAGGATTTTGGTACCTACTCTTCAGTTGTCTGGCCAAACCTTGACATCAACAGTGACCCAGTAGAGCATAACAATCCCAACCAATTAATGGTTAATAATTATGAAGTAAACCCTACCTATTCATATTAGTCAGAGTTTTGCAGAGAAGCAGAACCAATTGTGTGTGAGCATGTGTGTGTGTGTGTGTGGAGACAGAGTGTGTGTGTGCACACAGGCATGTGAGCTCTTTATTTATTTTTAAATGGCTCACATGATTGTGTGGGCTGGCATGCCCAGAATCCTCAGGCAGGCCAGAGACCCAGGGAGGAGTTGATGTTGCAGTTCATGTCTAAGGGTCATCTTTTGGCAGAATTCCCTCTTCCTTAGGACACCTCATTCTATTAACTGCTAGTCTGTCAGCTTCAACTGCTCAGATGGGGCCCACCCACAATAGGGAAAGGAATTTGCTTCGCTCTCACTTAAATATTAATTTCACCTAAAAAAAAATGCCTTCATGGAAACATCTGAAATACCTTTTGACCAAATATCCTGGTACTGTGGCCTAGCCAAGCTGGCACATGAAATTAACCATCACACTATCCTTGTTGCTGATTAGATCCCTAGGCCAAGTCATTATTCCTAAGAAAATCACTGTTGTTCCTAGCTGTATACTTATTATCCTGGACTAAGTGGCTGGACATAGCAGATTTCCAAATGGTTATGATTTGGGTCGGTGAGTATTGTTTGTGACCAATGGATCATGCCAAACATTTCTTGCAATTGCTTCCCTCTTTATTTCTCCTTGATTAATCCTGGAGGAGTGGGGAGTTGTGTCTATCAGAGAGCTCACCTAAACCAAGAGAAACTCAGGGAAATCCAAATATATATATATATATATTACCATTTTGATAGAATAGTGTTAGGGATTGCAGGATCGAGACTCCAGTTTCTTTGATTAAACATGATTAGGATTAGAATGACGTTGCCCGGGAGTAAATGTGTCAGAGATAGAAAGTGTGATTTCACAATCCTTTTTGTATGGGCTTAAAAGTCTTTGTCAGTTATGCAAAAATCTTCTAAAAGGAGAAGGATTAAAGACATGAGATATAAAGACGAGAGCAAAACAAACAAATGTGGTTAATAACAGATACGTGGGCTCTCGAGGATATTAACATAAATAAAAATTCATCATGAAAAATAATTAGGTTCCCCATTGTGGCCCACCCTCTAATTCTCTTGGGCACTGAAAAATAATGGGAAGGTTAACACATTTCTCACATTTCTGAGCATGTGATTATTTCTTGCTTACACAAAAATTACATAAAAGCAATCATTTGGAATCTGGGAGTAAATGACATATAGCGGACTTGGGTAAAGGCTTAACCAAAATAGAAAAGCAATCTGGCATTGCTGACAATATTGTCATGAAAATATTACATTTTATGAAGGGAATTTCTCAGAATTCAATAACAACATATTTAGGAGCTAAATTGAGTCATTTGCATATTGTGGCAAAGTAAAAACACAATAATCTCATTTTTTGCTGCCTAATAGGATTTCCTAGGGCTGGATTGCTGGGAAGTCTGCCCATCACACTCTCCCTCCATGCTTTTTCCCTCCACCAACCCCTCTTCCCCCTCTCTGTTTTACCTCTACTTCTGTTATTCTGCCCCATCCCACATCCCCTTTATCCCTGTTCTGTTTCTTACGCATGGAAAGTGACTCCGACTGACTGCTGTTACCCATTCCTGAGCAGAGAAAAGGAATCACCATCTCTCACCCGTTTTCTTACTGAAACTTCTTTTCCCTCCAAGTCGGGCATTATTATCATTGCTATTGCTATTCTCCTGGCTACCCCTTTTGTAGGTCGGTTCAAGAGAATTGGTGGACTGGCCCGTTCACTGGGAGGTCAGATAAAATCTCACCACACGTGAAAAAGGATGGTCTGCGTACTGAAGTCATGTACGCATGAGCGCGGGCCTGCACGCCTGTGTGTTTTGCTTATTTCGTTTTTTTCCACCGAAATTATTTGTATAATCACTTGAAACCTTCAGGACCAGAATGGCATGGTAGTTAAGAGGAAGGGCACTGACATTCAGTTGCCTGGGTTCAAATTCAGGCTCTACCGCTTATTAGTTTGGAACCATAAAAACCTACTAGATTTTTTCTGTTCTGCAGTTTCCTTATCTATGAAATAGGAATAAAGAATAGAATTTAACTCGTGGTGCTGCTGGGAAGATTAAATCAGCTAATGAACTTAAAACACTTGACCTATTACCTTGCACAAAACGGGCATGACAAGTGTGAATCGCGTCCACAAACCTAGGTATGTGAGAAATGTCACATTTCTTTACTTGCTACTAAATTAGCCTCCTCTCACTAGTTAGTAATCCATCTCACATATTTGGGACCTTTTGAAGGTTCTGGGGTCACCTGATGAGCCGAAGCCCTAATAGTGGCCGTAGATCATTACCATCTGCTAACCCAAGTTCTGCCGGGGTGTCCATCGTCTCCCCCGCCCCCACCATGGGCTTTTCCGGTCAAGTGCCTCTTTGGACATGGAATTCTGGGAGAGGCTGGGAACCACTGGCCTTTTGATCTCACTTTCACCACTTCCTTCTGCAGGCTTGTCACCACCCCCCACCACCACCACCACCCCTACCCCGGAGGGTTGCTGGGAAGCAGTGTGGGACCCATTACTCTGCCATCCACACAGCTCACTCCTCCTCCTCAAGGCTGGGGAAATGCCTCTCCGTCTCTCTTATTATCAATTGTCTCTTTGTTTCCTGCTGCTTCCAAGCCCCTCTGCTCTTTTCCACCAAGCCCTGATTCTCTTCTGCTGCCTGGGCTCATCCTATTGCTCCTCTGAGCTGAACCCACTGAAAACAAACTTGCAGGCACGATGTGCCATCCACCCTGCCACGTAGCCTCCCCGAGGCCGAAGCACAGAGCTTTCTCGCCTTTGAATGGCAGGGAAAGGAAGTAGTCATGTTGTAATGGAGAGAAAAAGAGGAAATAGAGGGGAAAACCCCATAAGTTAATTTCAAAATGTTTTCCAGCTACCTGTTAGCCAAATACTAGATTTTATTTTTCATCTTGCTGAAACTGTCCTTGTCCCAAGCTTGTCTCAGTCTCTTCTCTCAGAGTTATGTTACATGCTTTCCTTCTCAAAGCACACGACTCATCTGGGGCTCAACCTTCTCCTACTTTGCTCCCGTTGCTCTGGGTGCTGTTTCTTCAGCAACCATCCATGTGTTGATGGATACTCCCGTTTCTATACTCCGGCTCTGGTAGATTGCAACACCTGAGCAGAAATATTTATTGCTCTTCTCGTCAAGAAGTGGAGTTCACTTCCCCAACCTTTGCATCTGGCTGCCCTTGGGACTTGCTTTGGAGAACAGAAGGTAGGAGAGTGATGCTGTGCTGGTTCTGAGGTTGGACCTCAAGAGATTTTGCGCACACGTGCTTGTTCTCTGGGGACCACTCCTGCTGCTGTTCCAGGGAATAAGCCTGGGCTAGCCCGCTGATGAGAGACACCCCCAGCAGACTTGCTGACCACAAGCTAACCGCCAGGCATGTGAATGAGGCCGTCTAAATGTAGCCAGTGCCGCACTGTCCCACCAGCTGCCTGGCAGGTGCATGAAGCAGTTCAGCCCAGATTAGCCGGACCACCCCACTGCCTTGAAGTTATGAGCAATCATAGACGTCTGTGCTAAGCCACTAGGTTTGGGGTGGTTCGTTACACAACAAATATGCTAATCGATACAGGCTAAGACATCTCTTCGGAACTCCCTATCGCACGAGTCCTGGGGCCCACTGGACACTCCACTTTGATGACCTACATGCAATGTGTCCCAAACTGACCTCAACATACCTCCTCGTCCCCACCCACGCCCACCTCCAAGTCAAACAGCTCCTTTTCTTGCCTCCGTCTTGGCAAACAACCTGCTATCTCCTCAGAAACCCGGGCAGCATCCTGGCTCCCTAGTTCCTTCCCCTCACATCCAATCTGTCACCGAGAGCAGTCGGTTCCACCTGTCACATAGCTCTCCTCCCTCCACTCCTCTCCACCTCCACTAATTCCCCTTGTTCGACTACTTTCCCCTCCCATCTGGTTCTCTCACGTCTCTAAGCTCAGTCCTCACCTGCGCCTCCGCTTTACCTTCAATCTGCTTTCTATTTGAACAGGAAGAGTGTTTTCAAAATATAATTCTGACCAGATGACTCATCTGATTAAATTCCTATAACGGCTCAAAACCCTTCACAAAGACTGTACTCTTCAGCTGGACTCAAATGCCTTGACTTTCTCCCGCATGTCATTGGGAGCCATTGAAGATTCTTGAGCAGGGACGTGACAGCCACAGGGCTCTGCTTTAAGAGAAGTGATCTAGGAGCCTCATTTAGGAGAGTTCACAGGGGAAACCTTGGATGCAGGGAGACAAGTTAAGAAGCTCCAGCAATAGATCAGGTGAGAAGAGATGAGTCTGAAGCGAGGCTGCTGGTGGCAGGAACCTCAAGAGTTCTGCAAAGGACTGTTCCAGGAGGTTGGGGTGGATACAAGTACAATTGCAGAGGTAGGCAGTTCAAGCCTGGGTTCTGATCAGGTATCAAGAGAAGGAAAGGGAGAAAGTAAAAACTGCCCGTGACCTCAAACCTGGCTAACAGACGTTTGTGAAACCATTATGAATGTTTCACAAAATAGGGAGGAGAGGACATCTATGGAGCAAAGGAATGGTTGGAAAGGAACAATGGCACGTGGGGCTGGAAAGGTAGATGGAGGTCAGTGTCCTGTGGCGTCTGATCCCAGCCCCCACCTCAGCCCCGCTAAGTCTCAGCACAGCTTCTCGCTCGGGCACGTCCCTCAGCATATCACCTCTGCATTTTTTGCACGCCTGGTTTCCTGACCTACGTATCCCCATCACCCTTCTCTTCTAAGACCTTCCTCACTTACTTTGGTCCGCTGGTGCTGCTATAACAGAACATCACAGACGGGGGTGACTGGTAAACAACAGACATTTATTTCTCACAGTTATGGAGGCTGGAAGTCCAAGATCAAAGTGGCCCCAGAGCCAGTGTCTGAGGACAGCTTCCTGGTTCATAGATGGCCGGCTTCTCGGTGTGTCTTCACCTGGTGGAGAGCAGAGAGAGCGAGCTCTTGTGTCTCTTTTCATAAGGGGATGGATCCCAGTCGTGAGGGCTCCACCCACAGGAGCTAACCACGTCCCAAAGCACCCCCCCAACACCATCATGTTGGGGGTTAAGACTCAATGTAGGAATTTTGCAGGGACACAAACTTTCAGTCCATCCCACCACTTGTTATCTTGTTTGGTTACTTTTTATGGAATAAATGTTGACTGAGGAATTACCCTATGTCAACACTGGGTCTTGAGTGGTAACACTGAGCTCTCTCAATGACACCCTGGATCACTCCGTCCCTGAGTGCCACTCACTGCTTACAGACTGCCCTGTGTTATAATCATTTCTACAGCTAAACAATAGCAGATTAGCATCACAGGTGTGGCAACTTCTCCCAAGACAGCCCTTAGATCTTAAGTTCATCTTTGTATTTCCCAGAGCATATGGTAGATATATAATAAATATTTGATGAATTAGTGAATAATCACCATAATGCTATAAGACATTCAAATAGATTTTTAGTGATAAAGTTTTATTAAGATGATTACTAAAAACTATTTTTGCTGTTAAGACTTAGGGATGAAATAGAACTCAAGGTCTCTGAAGTTAATTAGCAAGCGAACTGATCTAAATTTTGTTAGAGGAGAAAGACAGGTATGAATGAGCCTTACACAGCACACACCTCGCCCTAATTTTCTTCCTGAAAGCCCACTGATATTTTTTTGATAGTGATTTGTTTGGGTGGAAGGTTTAATCCTCCTGCCTCAATAGTTATATGTGGTGTAGTTTAAGGGATGCACCCTGATGCCCCACAACTCCTTTTCTACCCTCTGGCTGATGTTTGAAAATGTCATTGTCAGAAAAGACTTCACCTGGGGCACCTGGGTGGCTCAGTCAGTTGAGCATCTGACTCTTGGTTTTGACTCAGGTCATGATCTCAAGGTCATGGGATCGAGCCCTGTGTCAGGCTCCACACTCAACAGGGAGTCTGCTGGAGATGCTCTCTCCCTCTGCCCCTCACTCTGCTTGTGTTTGCACTCTCTCTCAAATAAAGGAATAAATAATTTTAAAAAAAAAGAAATGACTTCACACTCTCAGCTTAAGATTTTGACCTGTGTTTGATGGCAATACGCATGGGGGGATCCCCAAGGCGAGGGCAAGGGTTTGAGAGTGTGCTTGAGGGGCAAAGCCTTAGAAGAGGACAAAGAAGTCATTCTAACTGAACTTAACTGGATTTTAAAATTCTCGTGTTCCAATTTGTGCACGTGGATCTAGTTCTAAAAAACAACGCCGTGCCAAAAATTGGGAGCGCTCGAAAAAGTTCCAATAGCCAGTTTCTGTTTTTATAATAGAATTCCAATTCAGATTTCTTTTTGCTAGCCTAATATGTTTTGGCTTCTTAAACCTAAATTACTCCACATTTGCTACAAAAGAGATTTCCCTGTTGCAGTCTTCCTGCCGTTCTGTTTGATTAGGAAACTTTCAGCGTTGCTGTTCCTTTGACATTTATGGATATGAAGGCAATTAAAAGAAAATTGACTGGCTTACCGTCCACCTCATCTTCATTTGACTTGTTTGCTCCTATTTCCCGTTCCATGTATTATTGATAGAGTGCTTCTTTTCATCACTTTTGTGCATGTTATAAAACAGAATCAACAGCTCTTGCTCCTGGAAGGGAGGAGGCTAGCTAGTCACTGCTAAACCAATGGCCACTCCCTTGTCCCCGGTAACGCAGCCTTCGTGGCCAGGGTATCTCTCCAACTTGATCCCAGAAGAGCCTGTGAGCCTTGTGAGGGGTGGGGTCAGAGGAACAGAAGGGCGACGTGGCGGGGAGGGGAGAGCTGCCAGCCAAGCTGGGTAAGGGGTTGGGGAGTCCCTTCTGTAGTCCTTTAAGGTAAGCACACTGCCCCATGAGCAGGGCTCTTCCCAAGGTTACAACTCCCCTTGGTTAGCTTGGGGGGCATTAAATCACATCTCCTGGGAACCCTTGATTTGCAAGCTTTTTTGTTTAATAGGAGGAGGGTAAGGCAACTTGCCTTCCCTTAACACAAAACTGAAAACGAACGTATTTTTTCCCTCTAAATGGAACAAAAGGGGAACAGAGTCATTAACTGTAAGCTGCCTAGACATACCAAGAGCATATATGTCTACGCCCGCAGCTCCCACTGGTCACTGCTGTCTTGCAAACAAAACAAATGGTGTCAAAGCAAGCAAAGCTAAGCCACAGCTTGAGAGGCAAAAGGTACAGAGGTGCTCCCTTGACCCTGGTTCTTGTGCCTCCGTAAAGTTGTCTGAGGTAAACACATGGGCTAAGGAGCACTTTTTCATGGACTCTAAATCTCCCCAAGTGCTCTCGGGTCTCTGCAGGAAGCCACAGCTGTCAGAACACTCCCCACCCCTCTCTGGTCAGGAAAGATCGGAGCCACCCCTCACCCCACCTCCCCCGGCTGCCTCTTCCTTGTGACCCCCACCTCAACACACTTTGTCCTCTCTCTAGGCAGTGACCTGCCTCCAGTTTTCTCACCAATACCCAGAGACTTCCTCACCAGGACCTGACCGCCAAATGGCCTCCTAGAACCAAATCGCTGCCACGTGGGAGCGGACACAGGATGGCATTTTCGTTCTCAGAAGACCAGGTTCACAAACCACAGCCAAGATGGTTGGAGGGGAGGGGTGGGACCTCCTCTCGGGGCCTCACATGTTTGCCCATGTGAGGAGTGGGCAAACACAGTGGGAGTACCATTTTCTAGTGGGAGTAAATGAACTGATCTGGGGCCCTGAGGTCTTAACTGAGTCCCCTAAAGGAGAGAATGCGGCCTTAAGACGTTTGTCAGACCCCAGCGAAGTGTATGTTTGATTCACAGGGACATGCAAGGGACCATGGTTCAGCTTGCTTTGGGCCTGTCCCCCTCAGGGTGAGGTGGACAATACCCAAATGCCCCAAGGCAGCAAATCCCCAGCAGTGTAAGAATTCATACCCATAAATGAAGGTCTCATTGGCAGCCAGCTCCTTAAGAAGTAAAACTCACCTGGGGGGCGCCTGGGTGGCTCAGTTGGTTAAGCGACTGCCTTCGGCTCAGGTCATGATCCTGGAGTCCCGGGATCAAGTCCCGCATCGGGCTCCCTGCTCGGCGAGGAGACTGCTTCTCCCTCTAACCATCCCCCCTCATGTACTCTCTCTCTCTCTCATTCTCGCTCTCTCAAATAAATCTTAAAAAAAACCTCACCTGGGAATGACTTTTCAAAAGACAAGTGCTAGAACAGAAGGTCTAAAGTAATGGCCAGAGGGGAGAATCAGACAGCGCCTAGCCTGTTGATTTTATTTTGACCCTATTTGATGTCTTCTGGAAGCAGGAAGCAAGTTGGAAGGGTACTGGGCTTGCAGGATAGGCCTTTCCTGCCCTGTCCTAGCTGTGGGCTTTGGAAAAGACAGCTTCATCTTCCATTCCTCAAGGATGTATCGAGCACCTCTGTTCACCAGGCTGATAGAGCGAAGAAAAAGGTGAAAGCAGGGTAGGATCCCTGCCCGCTGGGCTTACATTTTGGAGGGGGAAGGGGCAAGACAATAAATAGGTAAACAAGTAAACAAGACACTTTTAGTGAGCAAGGAGGCTCATGAAGAACTTAAAGAAAGCAAGTCATGGAACAGAACTGATTTGAGGAGATGGTTTTCCAGCACACACCCAGGTGATGAGAAGGAGCCAACCACACAAAGATCTGAAGGAAGAACATTCAGGAAAAAGGAATAACAAGTTCAATGGCCAGGAACCAGGAGTTCAATGGACCAAGCCTCCATTTCCTCCCCTGCACAGTGGTGTCAGTGAGGATCAAATAGAGTCACGCATATGGTGAGCTGTCACGCCCAAGTCCACAAATGAGGCTAATGGCACAGCTCCCACATGGGGGCTAGATTCTGGGGGCCCTTGGTCTCCATAACGTGGACTCCCATTACAGTCCAGTGCCCCAATGGAGCCACTCCCAGACAAGTCTTCCTATTCTCTTTTTTTGACACTTCATCAGCTTAAGAGACCCCATAGATGCCTCCCCCCAGCTTAGGTACCCAGCGTTGTTCTCTTGAAGCTCCCTCGAACACAATGAAGGGAAGGGGTATGTGTGTATACCCAGGTTTACTTTATGTTCTGAGCATATACTAACATACACACTATCTATGGGACTCTGGCCTCTAAAAAGCCATGGAATCCTTGAATGAAGTGACCCCCAACCGTCCTCCAGTCCCAGCCCTTGTTCTGAAGCAGATCCCCCACCACCTAGTGATTCAGGATGACCGTGTGCCATTCCTACATTTAAAGGTCCCTGTGGACTACGGTCCTGAGCCCCTGGGCTGCTGTGTTTCCAGGAAGGATTCACCTTCCAGGCAGGAAGCTTGTGCCTATACATACACCCCTTTTCCTGCACCTCCCTCCCACATCCTTATTTCTGGTCCCCTTGGAGATGGAGAACAAATGGTCTGCCCTCCATATAATGGCCCTTGGTGAAGACCATGGTTAGGTTGCCCTTGAGATGTTTTTCTCCCAGTTGAACCACACCTCCTTCATCTTCCCCAGGAGACTCTAAAGAGCAGCACGGCCATATGGGAAGGAGCAGCAGGAAGAGGTAACCGCAGCACCCATGGCTAGAGAGCAGAAGAGGGAGCCCCACAGCTCATGGTTATCTCCCCAGGGCAAAGAGCCTGGGTCTCTGCAAGCAACCACAATCCCCACAGCAGGGTGACATTTGTCCAACCTTGGCTCCAGGTCAAAAACCTCAATTGTTTCCCCATTCTCCGGGCAGCAATACACATGGCATTGTGGTGCCCACTTTGCAGATGAGGGACCTGAAGTTGGGAGAAGCTCCCTGGCTTTCCCGGGGCACACCTTGCAGCTGAAATTTGCATCCAGCTCTGATTCCAAAGTCAGTTCCCATAACCAAACAATTTAAAGCAATGATCAGCCATCTGCTACTTAGAGTTTGTTCAAACCCCCCCACCCCACACCTGTATACGGAGCAACTTTCAGGAACAAAGTTCCTGAAATTTAAGCGTAAAGAAAAAGAAGTCCAGAGTATGAATAACATCTTCCATTTATGGAGCATCTCTTCAGGGACAGGAACTCATTTAACGATGCTCCTGCAGGCTAGACTCTGCAATCCCCATTGTAAAGATAAGGGAGTCAAGGCTCCATTTGGTTAAGTGACTTGCCAAGTGACTTGCCAAGTGACAGGGCTGCCTTGCCAGCTTCGAAGCGTCTGCCCCCAAAGCTCTTCACCTTGACACACATTGACTCTAAAGGTCAATTCAGGTGGAAATGTGTGGTCCAAGGCTCCTTTCCCTCACTGTAGACCAAATGTCGGGTACCCAGTTGGTGAAGATTTGCTAACCATGCATTAGCCTTTTAAGCCACACACATTAAAAAAATAATAATAGTTATCAGAAATTAACAATGCTAGCAAGAGTAACCTCTGCCTCCTCCTTGAAAGTTAAGATTACGAGTTTGTGTAAACTCAGGACGCTTGTCATGTTCCCTTGGCATGTGACACCTCACTGCACTCTTTTTCCTCTTGGATAAAACTGATGTACTAATAACATGACACCACACTAATAAATATGTCATCTTATTGCCTAGTAATAGTATAGAGTGACACTCGCCTTGACTACTTCCCAGGTGATTACGAAGATCGGGGAAGCCATCTACGTGAAAACATGTTATGAACTCTGAAAAAATCTAGGCGGTGTGACCATGGGGACGGTGATGACCGCCATTTGGAGACTTGTCACAGCTATTGTCACCACGGTCACTCCCAGCAGATGGCCCTGGGCATCTGTGACACGGAGGCAGCGTTCTCTGGGATCCCAGCAGGGGCTGGACGGAAGCCCCAGACAGCAGCCATGTTAACACACAGGGCCTCCAACAGGATCTGTGGATTGCATGGCCAGGAGCAATTCTAAGTCAGTAGCCCCTTAAAGTTAGTGCATCTTCCTGTTGGAAAAAATACCATCTGGGCATTTTGGATAGTTTCTAGTGCATCTACCCTCAGTCCAAATCAAATAATAAGACAACTTTTCCACTTGTGTCTTGGCCTTCTTTTTGTTTTTCATATTTTCTCGCCTTTACCTCTCCCACACTTTTCCTTCCACATGTTGGTCCATCTGTTCTAGGTAGGATGTGCCTGGTAGCCAGGGAGCATGTTTGTTTCAGCTTTCTGGCACGCATGCCTGGAACCACGAGAGAAAGTAGAAACAACCAGGCTCAGAATATATTGCAAGGATCACAAATGACACTGTAGCCCAGAAATTACCGATTGCAGGTGATGTCCTGCTTTGCAGACTGGGCAGAGATGGGAACGGCTGGGCGCCCGGCATGCACGTACCTGCTACAGGGAGCCTTCATTGCCTTTGAGGCCAGAGAGACCGGTGACAGTCCTGACCCACCACACACTAGCATTGTGATTTAGTTACTTGATTTCCTTCTCTCTGCATGGTGAAACCAAGCTCTTCCCCCGACTGAGCGGAGAATTGAGACATCAAATGCAAAGTCCCTGGTGACAACTGGCTTTCGATGGAAACTTCCCTCCTTTGAACCCATAAAATGATGCTGCCCTTGGACAAATGGGTCTTGGTGGACACGTCTACTGTTTTACTCTTCTGAGGAGATAAATCGTGAATTGTCTCC